CCTGGTTCGATTCCAGGCTGTATCACAACCGGCCGTAATTGGGAGTCCCATAGGGCAGCGCACAGTTGGCCGGTGTAGGCCGTCATTGTAAATAAGAACTTGTTCTTAACTGACTTGCCTAGTTAAATAAAATAAAAATCAGCTGCATTGATTGCCATAGATGGTTTGGAGAACTTTGGGTTTTATTGTTCAATTAAACCACAGCTCTAAAAGGACTGCAGGAGACAAGAAGGTCATGACAACAAAAAACACAACATACCAATAAACCCATCCGTCCCTCTCTCTCACTCTCTCTCACCCTTTCCATTCTCCACATCCCCTCTCTCTGTTTACCCCTTCCCCTTTACCCCATCGCTTCATGTTCTCACCCCTCCCTCCAGGCTGTTTCCTGGCAGAGATGTCTGTCTGCCCTGTTCTGGTGGTCAGCTCAGCTGCAGGCCAACTTCGCCCTATCTCGCCTCCCTCGCCTGTTGCTGCTGTTGCTGGGGTGACGGGGGTATTTTGGTAACCCTGTGTGTGTTGTGTGTGAAGGCGTCTGAGCGCCCCCAGCGGAGTCAGGGTGGGTGGGGATGGTGGTGGGGTAAGGGGGGTTTATGACTGGGCCTGATGGAGGGGTGACGCTGATGGGGACAGGCAGGCTGTGAGACAAGCCCCATCGTCCTGTGAAGGGCAGCGTCACACCCGCTCTCCTCACATCAACCCTGTCTGTCTGTCTGTCACATGCTCGTCTGGCTACCGCTACCCCTTAAACTGGTCCGACGTGGAGAATGCTCCTCACTTAACTCAAGACAATCAGTGTGACAAACCTTCTGAGGTCCACTGTAGCGTATACACAAGACTGGTTTGCTAGATCTGGATAAAGATATTCACTGCTTGACATAAAATGTCTACTTGATTAGCTGAAAGACGTGGGTATACCACGGGTATGACAAAACATTGATTTTTACTGTTCTAATTACGTTTGTAAGCAGTTTATAATAGCAATAAGGCACCTCAGGGATTTGTGGTATATGGCCAATATACCACAGCTCAGGGCTGTATCCAGGCACTTTGCATTGCATCGTGCAGAAGAACAGCCCTAGCCGTGGTATATTGGCCAAATACCCACACCCCCTCGTGCCTTATTGCTTAAATATCCCATTGACTGCATATTATGAACCTTATGATGGTGCCTACCTTCCACCTCCTATAGGGAAGACTTGGAAGGTTGCTGCAAGGTATATGTACTTCTTTATCCATCACTATGATCAGTATTCATTAGCTCCTCTCCAAAACTCCCATATCTTTCTCATGTGTTCCTACCCTCTGTCTATCCTTCCCTCCCCCAGCCCGTACCGTTGTAGACCCAGGCAGGAATGCAGCCCTATCAGGCCTGCCCTGGCCCTGCCTGCCCCTCCCCAGGGCCAGATGGGAGTCTGTGGAGTGTCAGGACCCCCAAGGACCTCGGGGGTGCCCTGTCTGCCTGACCTCTCCCACTACAGTGTGGCTACACAGGCCTGCTCAGAGAGAGTCAGTGGAGCTGCACACTACTCTTACATACACAAACAAACAGCTCAGCCACTCAAATAACACACATCTCTACACAGGATAGATAAGGCTGCTGCCACATGCCAATGCACAGGCCTGTAGAGTGTGAAAGCCAACAGTGTGTTCTGCTGTGCTGAATCCACAGCGTTGAATAGGGCAGTGATGACTGCGTCCCCTTAGGGATGGTTATCTCTTCCTGTGGGACTTTGACATACTGCTCCATTCACCACGCCACTGCACTGGCAGGCCTGTCTGGGTGGCTTAGCACTAGAGCAAATGACTCTGCTAAAGT